GAGGTAAGTGACCACGACAATCTGACGCAAGATTATTATCCGTGTGAGTCACTTACCTGGTTTAAATGTTTAGTATATCCTGTACGAGGAAGGTAGGATCCAGACGATAAACTGCTAAACAAGATGTGGCGCAGAGCCGCCCAGAGTGTTCCCGATGCAGCAGCCCCAGTGAGCAGGCAGGAGTCCAATCAGGAAATGGAAACAGTTCAGAACAAGGACGGTTCTGAGATTGTGGAGGCCTTAGCCTGACCAGGGGTTCCGATCGGAACAGGAACAGACGGATCCAGGGTTCCAGGAATCCACAGAGCATTCAGACAGGTTCAGAGCTCTATGAGTCCAGCAATGAGCTCAGGCAGACATTCTCAGATGGAGATAAGTGGGCTCAGTGGCTGAGAGGAGTAGAGACAAGACAATAGACTAGGATGGAATTGAGGCGGAATGAACTCGATCAGCTCTTCCTACTTGTGCGCGCTCCCGGCTAGGGAATACAAATTATAGCATGGATAACAACCTTGGCACGACACCACCTTTTGGTTATTAAATCTGCCAGAAACCACCTCAGCTTCTGTCCTCTAAAAAACCTCCACACAACCTGACAATTGGTTTTGTTTCTGTCGACATCATCCGCCAGACCTTAAATCATTAGTGATGAATGTCAAAGAACTTTCCATTGGGCAAATAATCTATAATAAGAACTCACATTCTCTGGTCTAGGACTTAGGACTAGGCAACAGCAGTAGGTAGGCTCATAGGCACTCTAACTCTAACCAATCGGGCTGAGGACAAACCATAACATTAAGATACAGAGACAGAAATGCAGAAATGTAGAAATTTAGAAATGAATTTAGGAATAAATAAAAGTATGAATGCACAAAAAATGAGAAAATACCAGAATAAATACATAAATACACAAATAGAAGTTAAAAAAAATATAAAATAAGACTTTTTTTTACCACAACATATTTATTCATTGATTTATTTATACATGTATATTTATATCTGTATGTTTATTTATTTGTGTGTTTATATGTGTATTTATTCATATGTGTATCTATTTCATTTTGGTTTTGTCAATTTTCGTCCTTCATACTGACACATTTAAAATTTGTGTACAGGAGTAGAGAGGCAGCTGTTCTGGGAGAGAAACGCCAAGCTGCTGTCAGACAGTCCAATCAGCAGTTTCTTAAGTTTTTCACTGGGACATACGTCTTCCTTTTTGTCAATGTTGTTGTGCTTTTGTTAATGTTGTAGTGGTTTTTTAATTTGTAGTTGTGCTTTGTTTAGTGTTGTAGTGCTTTCATTTATGTTGTAGTAGTGCTTATGTCATTTGAAATGGTGCACAATTGAACACCAATATCAATATTCAAAAGTATTCATTTCCAATGTGTATGTTATAAAAATCCCACACACCTGTGTGATTAAAATAATAGTAAATAAACCATTATTGATGATAAAACTTAAACTAATTATACAGAAAATATAATGCATTAAGATTTTGTTACAAATGCTTAAAGTTCAGAGGGACTTCTGCGGCCCTTTCCCCATCATATTCTTTTTTGTATTTTTCTCTGGCTTTAATAACATAATATAACATTTTGGAATAAAAATGCAAATTAACAGGCCAAAAGTGGAAGCAAGGATAGCAAAGATTTCTACAGCTACGCTGAAATTTCCAGGTGAACTGATATACGCCGGAATAAAAGTTATCCATACGGCACAGAATATCAGCATGCTGAAGGTGATAAATTTGGCTTCATTAAAATTATCAGGCAGCTTCCGAGCTAAAAAAGCTAGGATAAAACACAACAAAGCAAGAAGCCCAATGTACCCTAGCACTGACCAAAAACCTACAGCTGAGCCAAGAGCACATTCTAAGATAATTTTTTGTTTGAATTCCTTAAAATTTTTGGATGGAAAAGGAGGAGAGATCGCTAACCAGAGGATACAAATGATAACTTGTACAAGAGTAAAACCCAGAACACTGAGTCTCTGCTGTGTAGGCCCAAACCACTGCATCAAGTTTCGCCCAGGAAGTGTAGCTTTAAATGCCATTAAAACTACCATTGTTTTCCCGAGTACACAAGAGAGACAGAGCACAAAGGTGATGCCGAACGCTGTGTGACGCAGCATGCAGGACCACTTAGAAGGCTGCCCAATAAATGTTAAAGAGCAGAGGAAACACAGGGTCAAGGAGAACAGAAGGAGAAAGCTCAGCTCAGAGTTGTTTGCTCTGACGAGAGGAGTTTTTCTGTTTCTGTAGAAAATTACTGTCACAATAGCTGTTATACTCATTCCAAATAAAGCTGCAGTTGCAAGGAGTATCCCCATAATTTCATCATATGATAGAAAAACTGCTTTCTTCTTTATGCAGGCATCTCTTCTCTCATTGGACCAAGATTCAAGGGAACATCTCACACAGATGACAGCATCTGCAAGAGATGAAGGAATAACTTATGTGTTGTAGTCTATGTACCTATTTATTCTGATACAAACAAAAGGTAAAATAAGGAAAGACTAACTGGGTTTTACTTATGATCTGATAAATAACTTAAATACACTGTCACCTTTTTCCTTTTCACTTTGCAAGAATTTGATGTAGGTGATTAAGCAACTTTACTGTTTTTCCAACAGATTTTAATCCCTTTGACTTTGTTGAAGTTGTTGCTAAAACAAATCTATAGACAGTTTTGTGTATCTCAGTCAAACGATGAAATGATGCCTTTATTTATGCCTTTCCTGTATAAATATGTTCGTCTTTACATTTTTTAAGTGCACCTTATTCTAAAACCAGGCTGCAATAAATTTTTTCCCCACTTTTTACTAGAATCATGAATGACTTTGCGAAAACTTACTTGGAACAGGTTTGGGCTCAGTGGGAGTATCTAACAGATTTCTTCCTCATATAGGCTAGTTTTACTTACTCAGTATGAGGGACTAGCTTAAAAACGGATTTAATGCAATTTATTTTCCTGTCTAATTACATGCTTTTTCAGGAAGAGTGACTGCTGCAATTTGCTGTAACCCCCAAGACAATGTTCTTTACCAATTGTAAACTAATCTTTCTGCATTTTTGGATAATCAAACTTGTATGTTTTACATTGATTTTGAATCTGCCTCTATGGTTAATTTAAATTTACCTTCACTATGCTTTGAGACATATTTGCTGTCAGTTGCTGTTGTAGAACCAAACTCAACAGAATTAAAATGCAGAATTAAGGATAAATTCTTAGTTACTGTATTTAAGTAGTTTTTTGTCATTATTTGTACTTTACGAAAGTATTTATTTTCCTGAAAGATTTCACTTTCACCTAACACTTTTGAACAGACCTATATGCAACATCAGTGTTACAAGACTGTCTTGTTACTTCTATTTATATAACTAACAACGTGCTGTTTCGTAATGCTGTTTGCAATGTTAATGCCGCAAATATGGGATTTATATGAAGTATTCATTTGCTTATACAAGAATTTTTTAAATAAGATTACTAAGTTAGAAGGAGTTCATTAAGCACTTTAACTTTTACAATTTAAAACGAGTATCTGTACTTTTACTTAAGTAAATGATTTTTGACACCTCAGTTAAAATTAATATGTTCAAATATAAATGTTACAGGCTTTTATTCATTCAAGAATGAATTAAGGTTCAACAAGGACTTTTTCACTTTAAAATTTTGCATTTTAATTTTGGAAACCTGTAATGTTGCTAATTTCTCCTTCACCACATCGTATACAGTCATGACAGCAAACAGGCTTTCCTTTCTGAAGAACCTTGCGTGTTCCTTTAGGACACTTCTCACTGCAAACTGACACAGGTACCTGCAAAGGCACAAGGCGGCCTAATTAATATCTTAGCCTTCTTTACTAATTAATTCAAAAAAGAAATAAAAAAATCACATAGCAATACCTATTTGCTATCTAAGTGAAATTAAAACTGGTTAACAATTATATCATCTGTACCTGTGTTGAGCTTTGTGCCCAAATTAAGGACTTGTTTTGCAGTTTTAGCTGTTTGTCAAATGGTAATGATGCATCATAAATTCCAACTGTGACAAACTCCACAAAGCCGTTTTCTCTTCGTTGCCAGTTTATGACCTCATACTTTGCAGCTGGATCTCCATCTTCATTGAAGTAAACCTCTTCACCTTCTTTTGTTCTGAAATTAGTCTTTTTAATCTGCTGCAAGATCTAAAAAGATAAATGAACAATCTGTTTTAATCAAATCAGAAAATTAATTTCAGAATATGCTGTGTGTACCTGTTTCTCTTTTTCCTGATGAAATATGAATGAACTCAAATAAAAATTCTGTTGAAAATATTTGTATATTTTTTTAATGCTCACCGTAAATGGATCAAGCCGCACATTCTTGTTGCAGGTTTTTTCACATCTAAGAATGTTATGCAAAGCATGGGCCACAGCATACACTCCTTTATAGACATTGTTAAAAATGGGCATCAGTGACATATCAGTGAAGCTGTTTTCCACTCCAGTGAGATTCTCATATCCAGTACATTCTCTATCATTTTCAGCTGGTTTTGACTGCTTGAACTTGCAGCTAAACAATGTCTCCCAGAATTCTGTATATAATTCATTGTTCAAAGATTTTAGGGGCATCACATCAAGAATGAACTCCCTGAGACCACTCACATATGTATCAGGAATGGAAACACCAATCGCCCCATCCAAGATGTGATTCTTATCCACTAATGCTATTTGAGAATCAAAAATCCAGGACTCACTGCCAACCCACTGGTATCCAGTCAAGTTATAGTTGGACAATTCATGTATAAGAACATCCATGTCTAAATGTGATACAAAGGCAATAATTACTTTGGAAGTTGAAGTCTGTATAGTTTTGATTACCTTTTGAATTTTTTCTGTAGGATCTGTTCTAAAGAAAGAAACAGAATATTCCAAACAAATGCCCAGCTGCTCTGCTATTTCAGTGAATATAGCCATGCCGTTATTGCCATAATCATCATTAGTTCTAACTGCTCCAACCCAAGTCCAACCAAAATGCTTGACTATTTGGGCTAAGGCCCTGCTCTGGAAGTAGTCACTGGGTATTGTTCTGAGAAATGATGGATACTTAGTTTTGTCACTGAGACAAGCACATGTGGCAAAGTGGCTGATCTAAAAGCAAACAAACAACAACAAAAAAATAGCTAGATAAATTAAGTGATGAAAAATATAAGAAGTAATGTTATAGGAATATATTATACAAAAGCACATTGCACTTTTCATTTGGTTTTAGCAGTTGTACTTACCAGCGGAATCTGAAATGGTCCGATGAGTGTACCTATTGCAGTGCTAGGAGACGAAGAAGTTTCTCCCACTATAGCCTGCACTTGTAGAGGTCTGGTACAAGGCATCTCAGGATTTGAAGATCTATTTTCACTATTATTGTTTAAGGCTAGTGCAACTTTTATGCTTCTCGGAATGGATCCACAAGTGTCATAGATGTTATAGCCCAGAGTCACTCCCGGCAGCAGGTCCGTACTGTTATTTATTTCTTCGATGGCGAAACGCATGGTCTGAGCAAACTGGAACTCTCTAAAATTCAAACTTGATTCAAAGTTACACAATGTTGACATAAAAAAACGAAAAAGAAAAATAAGTACAGTAAGCATTTCAGTGGTATAATTTACCTGATGCATTGCAGTGCCAAGGGCTTTTGTTTATACAATTCCTCTCTGTTCTTCCAACTGCTGTGGAAATAGAAGATACCACCCAACACAATGTCCCCATCCTTGTATAGCTGTGGGATCTCAGGATCACCTATCTGCCTACATAATGGCGTTTCTGAGTTTGAGAAAGTCACCAAAATCAACAGTTGTAAAAGTGCACTCCCCAGCTGCGGCCATCTCTGCATGGATCTCATTTTTTCTGAAATGATCATCTTACACGGTGGTATTTCATAATCCAGCTACTCAGGCAAGGATCAGCTTTTAAACAATCAACAGTGACACTGAGTCTCTGGGGGACAACCTCAATAACCTTCAATATTGTCTTAGTTAGGTTGTAGATGCTGTTTTTAACTTCAATGCAGGTTAAATATCCTGGAAATGCAAGTTAACTAATTTCTCAATTTAAAACCAGGGAATTAGTAAGATTTAAAAAATGTAAAAGGTAAATTAAAAACTACAACTAAAAGAGCACAACGTAAACAGAAAACCTGCCCAAAAATTCACTATTATTACCATGGTATTTCAATTTATATTTTATATACATTTAGCTATATATGTCTTAACTATTATGTTAACTAATATGTTAAGTTTTCAAGATTTATTTTTTATTAATAAGGGTATTGAAAATTATATATGTTATTTAAATGTAAATATTTCCAGATACTTGTTTTATGTTTTTACGACCAATAATCATTTTAAAAGCGGTATTGCTTTTCAATAGAGATATTTGTCTCAATGTCCTATCTGATAATAAAAATATTTCTAAATATTAGAATGCTGGATCCAATATGAATTCTGATTGTATCACTAGTAGCTCGTTTCCCAATGCCACTTATTTACAGTATAGTTAAATAACATGCTGCTGTCAGTTTTTGCACATCTCTGGTAATGCTATTTTCACATATTTATTACTGTATAAAATGTCCACAGCTTGATTGTTGATGTTGTGCTTGATTTTTTATTCTCCAGATACAGAGTATTTATAATGTAAAACTCGGTACAGTGCAATACTTTATTTGTTTTATTTTCTTATCTGTTATTTTTATACACTTTTCTAAGGTCCACATTGTGTGACCACTTCTGCTATAACCTTTGCTGTAACACCAAAAGTTCCCCATTGTGGGATACTTAAGGGATTTTCTATGGGGCAAATTTGGCAAAATTTGGCTTTTCAAGGCTTTACTTTACTAGGGCTCAAACCCAAAACTCATCATGATTTCGTCATCAAATATCCATGTTTTGGTCATCACTTTTCGTCATTAAAATAAGGAGCATCAAAGAAATAATTTTGTCATCTTCAATAAAAGCAACACCGATCTGTAGTGACAGAAAGTGGAAATAAACTGTTGTGGAGGTGTGTGGTAAAAACTGCAAGTGTAAAGATGTAAAAAATTTTAATTTTCACCTTAAATTTTTGACATTGTAGGGTAATGTAGGTATTAATTCTAACTAGTTTTTGACATATTTTGCTGAATAATTAGATGATCTGACAGAGTTCTTTCATTTTTCTTTGTAGAAATAAAAAAATATACATTCTCCTAAAACTGACTTTTTATGTACACCTAATATAGTACAGTGTAAGAATTTATATAAATGTATATATTTTTTTTCTTAACTTTTTGGGGATCCTTTCATCATCAAATCCACTAAAGCTTTTACTTGATATAAATATAAGCTTATATGATCATGCTGCCTAAATTCAAATAACATTCTGACGAAAAAATGTGTTCTCTTGCTGCTGTAGATATCTGAGATTTACATTATTGTCATTAAAAAAAATAAATAAGTGAATAATTCTTTAGTGGTTATTTCAAATGAATCATATTCTTAAAAAAACAACCCCTTTGACTTTAAATCCCAGGGTTTTCAGTGGAAGAGAGGCTATAGTGACAGAATGACTATGTATATGTCATAACCTCTGTGTGCAATGACAGCTACATGTAAATAATAATATTCACAAATAACAACAAAAAATAATGCTATAGATGGAATGTGTGGAAGTTCGGACATTTAGCTAATTATGAACTATTATTTCTCCGGCAGCTTTTTACTCAGCACTGTGGAAATTTGTGATATAAAAATAATAAATTGGTTAGCTTAGCTTTTGACTTTTTAATTTCACGTAGTATACAGCTTTTAATCAAAGACTAAAAATATTCGTTAAATGAAGAAATCATTCACAGTTTTAAATATTTATCATTCAAATTGTAATATAATTTCATATTATCAGTGCTTATTGAGCGAAAAAAATACCCCAATACCCTTATTAATACCCTTAATAATTATCTTAATTCAGACATGTGTTTCTTTTGGTCCATGACCCAATGCGACGAAGGCAGAAATGGAATCCTACCCACTTGCATTTTCGCCTTTAGAAATTCTTACAAGCAAAGAAGTTGAACACTCCTTTAATGCTACACACCAGAGATAATTTCTAATATGAAAAAATTCATAAAAAACATCAGTCTTATACATATGATTTCAAGCAATTTATTAATAATAACACGACATGATAATGCAAAGGTAGCCACATGAAAAATGAACACATTTGCATACAGAGAGTTTTAATCTTTTTGCAATCAAATAATTTACTCTTTAGAGGGACTTAGGTGGCACTTTCCCCATTATGTGCTTTTTTGTATTTTGCTGTGGTTTCAGTAACATAATATAACATTTTGGAATAAAAATGCAAATTAACAGGCCAAAAGTAGAAGCAAGGATAGCAAAGATTTCTACAGCTACGTTTAAATTTCCAGGTGAACTGACATACGCCGGAATAAAAGTTATCCATACGGCACAGAATATCAGCATGCTGAAGGTGATAAATTTGGCTTCGTTAAAATTATCAGGCAGCTTCCGGGCTAAAAATGCAAAGATAAAACACAACAAAGCAAGAAGTCCAATGTACCCTAGCACTGACCAAAAACCTACAGCTGAGCCCAGAGCACATTCTAGGATAATTTTGTCTTTAAATTCTCCAAGGTTTTTGTGTGGAAAAGGGGGAGAATTCGCTAACCAAAGGATGCAAATGATAACTTGTACAAGAGTGAAACCCAGAACACTTAATCTCTGCTGTGCAGGCCCAAACCATTTTATCATATTTTGACCAGGAAGTGTAGCTTTAAATGCCATTAAAACTACCATTGTTTTCCCCAGAACACAAGAGAGACAGAGCACAAAGATGATGCCGAACGCTGTGTGACGCAGCATGCAGGACCACTTAGAAGGCTGCCCAATAAATGTTAAAGAGCAAAGGAAGCACAGGGTCAAGGACAAAAGAAGGAGAAAGCTCAGCTCAGAGTTGTTTGCTCTGACGAGAGGAGTTTTTCTGTATCTGAAAAAAATTAAAATCACAATAGCTGTTATACATGTTCCAAATAAAGCTGCGGTAGTGAGGAGTATTCCCATAATTTCATCATATGATAAAAAAACTGCTTCCTTCTTTAAACAGGCATCTCTTCTCTTGTTTGGCCAAAGTTCAGGGGGGCATTTCACACAGGTGACAGCATCTGGAAATGTTTTAAAATTTAAGATGGCATTAGTGCTGTGGTTTTTATTGATGCAAAGGCCAATGCTTATTAATGAAATTATGAAAACAAAACAAAAGATATTTAGGAAAACCTCACTTTTTTAAAAACATTTCTTAATGTCTTACTTTTTCTCAACATAAATGTATAACACATATTTTAATTTTGGTTTTAGTTTACAATTTTTAACCAGTTTTCTTCTTACATAGCTGTTCTTCTTTTGTCAGCTCATGTATACTACAATAAATATCATGGATATTGCTGTTTGTTGCACTTGTAAATGTAATTACTTAAATGCGGTCCTTGAGTGTCTAAGTGGCCAATTTGACTAGAAGCGAGCCAAATTCTGTAAATTTACCATTATCAAGAGGGACTTTAATCTGACATATAAACTCCATTGGAGCCCGACTCAATTTATTGAATATTACTGCAACCACCTCTGTGGTATGTGTAAATAGTTTTAGTTTGAATGGGGATTTGACTCAGCAAGTATACTAAAAATAAAAAACATATCACAAAGCAGAAATATTTGTATAATACCACACACTATAAAACATGATTTTTAAGATAAAACCTTGTTAAAATTAATTTAGAATTGTAGACCTTCACAAGTCACACTATTATTATCAACATATCAACAATATTCATACTGAGAGGATGAAATGTGTAGTGAAAGTATATATATATATATATATAATTTATTTATTTTTTTTTTTTTTTAAGGCCAAGGTATGTGGGTAAATTTAATGCATTTATATTTTTGGAGGAAAGTGGAAGTTTTCACTTATTTTGTTACACTTTGACTGAATCCACAAAAATTGATTGGAAATTATTTTGTTAATAAATAAGATCTTGAAATTTTCAAAATAGGATTATCTATACCTGTAATGTTGCTAATTTCGCCATCAGCACATCTTATACAATCATGGCAGCAAACAGGCTTTCCTTTCTGCAGAACTTTGCGTGTTCCTGGAGGACACTTCTCACTGCAAACTGACACAGGCACCTGCAAAAGAAGCCTTAACAAAGTTATACAGGTTTCTCACAGGTATTTAAGATTACTTTAATATGTCAAAGTAAAATACAATCTAATCACAATGTATACTTTAAACACTGAAAAATAATCCAGTTAATTGCTGTAAAACTTTTTACCTTCGAAGAGCCCTGCGCCCAAAGTAAGCCCTTATTTTGAAGACTTAGCTGTTTGTTAAATGGTAAAGATGCATCATAAATGCCAACTGTGACAAAGTCCAAAGTTCCATTTTCTCTTGGCTGCCAATGCATGATTTCATACTTTGCAATAGGATCTCCATCCTCATTAAAGTAAACCTCTTCTCCTTCCTTTGTTTTGAAGTGAATATTTCGAATGACCTGCAAAATCTAAGAAATGTTAACGGTAAACGTAAAATATGTATAATGGCTTGAGTATACTTCATTGCATTATTTCTACCTGCTTGAGTTTATGATGCTGTATTTCAATTTAAAAACTGATACATTGCTGTTACGCTCACCATGAATGGGTCTAGCTGCACTTGTTTGTTGCATGTTTTGTCACACCCAAGAATATTATGCAAAGCATGGGCCACTGCATACACTCCTTTATATACATTGTTAAAAATGGGCATCAGTGACATGTCAGTGAAGCTGTTTTCCATTCCAGTCAGATCCTCATGTCCAGTACATTGTTTATATTTTTCATCTGATTTCTCTCTCTTGAACTTGCAGTTAAACAATGTCTCCCAGAACTCAATATAAAAGTCATTATTTAAAGATTTGAGTGGCCTCACATCAAACATGAACTCCCTGAGACCACTCACATGTGCTTTAGGGATAGAAACGCCAATCGCTCCATCCAGGATGTGATTCTTATCCACTGTTGCAAACTGAGAATCAGAGATCCAACCTTCACTTCCCACCCACTGGTACCCAGTCAAATTGTGGTTAGACAACTCATGTATAAGTACTTCCATATCCAAATGAGCAACAAAGGCAATTATCACTTTTGAAGTTGAAGCCTTTATGGTATTGATTACTTTTTGCATTTTTTCTGTTGAATCTGTTCTAAAGAAAGAAACAGAATATTCCAGACAAATGCCCAGCTGTTCTGCAGTTTCCTTGAATATAGCCATGCCATTGTTGCCGTAATCATCATTGGTTCTAACAGCTCCAACCCAAGTCCAACCGAAATGTTTGACTAAGTGAGCCAGAGCTCTGCTCTGATAATAGTCACTGGGTACCGTTCTAAGAAATGATGGATACTTGGTTTTATCACTGAGGCAAGCACATGTGGCAAAGTGGCTGATCTAAAAGAAATTATGCAAAATAAAGTACTACATAATATTTTTTTATCTAATACGGAATTTTCTTTTTACCAGTTTTACTCACCAGTGGTATATGAAATGGTCCAATGACAGTAGCTATGGCAGTGCTAGGAGAGGAAGAAGTTTCTCCCACTATGGCTTGCACTTGTACAGGTTTCGTACATGGTTTGTCAGAATTTGAAGATAGACTTTCATTACCATTGTTCAAGGCAAGTGCAACTTTTATGCTTCTGGGAATGGAACCACAAGTATCATATATGCTGTATCCAAGAGAAATACCTGGCAGTAAGTCTGTTTTGTTATTTATCTCCTCAATTGCAAAAAGCATGGTCTGAGCAAATTGGATTTCTCTGAAATTCAAACTTGATTGTAAAAGCATTAATATAGTTGTAATATTTGCCTCTGATATAGAGACAGTAAAATTATACATTGTAAACATTTAAAAATGTATTAGATAAAATTTACCTTATGCATTGCAGTGCCAAGGGTTTTTGTTTATAAGAGTATTGCTCATTCTTCCAGCTACTATGAAAATAGAAGATTCCTCCCAGGTTTATGTCACCATCTTTGTATAGTTGAGGGGTCTCCTGATCTCCTTGCTGCCTGCAGAATGGCTCCTCAGTCTGCGAGAAAGAGACCAGTATCAACAATTGTAACAATGCATACACCAACTCAGGAAACCTCTGCATGAATGCTATCTCTGCAGAATCTAGATTACTAGGAGGCATTTCATAAGCCTTCATTTAATTTGATATTTCAAAGGCCATTTATGACTTACTGATCAGTTCATAAATGAGGGACAGTGATACTTTCTCCCTGTGGGTCTACACGGTGAAAAAAGGGGAGGAGGAATGTTAAATTGTTTAGTTAATGTAAAACCAATTAAATATTTGTAATAGGGTAAAACTATTTTTATTATTAACTATTTTCTTTAAAATCAAATTCTAATCAGGCTACATTTAAAAAAAAAAAGCATTTTCTATTAACACATTTATGTATCCAATAACATTTTCAGAGCTATATGTCATTGCTATAGTATAAATTAATCGCTTTTAGTTGTAGGGTCACAGATGCAAGTGACTTAGTTTTAAGCTTCATATTAGCCTTTGTCCTGTCTTTAATTACTTGGTGTTTTAATATTTTTTTTCTTTTTACTTCTCAGTTCTTGCATTTTATCCACTTGTTTCTCATTCAGATCCTCAATTATCCTTATGTCTTCATTAACTTGCAAACAAACACCTTTGACAACAATTGGTAATTGCTTTAATTTTAAGCAAATTCTACAAAGAACTCAACTATAGCAGTCTGTGATACAGTATGTGTTCTGAAAGCTGGCTGAATACAGGGATGAGTTAGACCTCCACATGTGGGGGGGCGAGATGGTGGGATCGGCCGTTGCTTAGGATGGTGCAGCTCTAGGATTGGTTCTGGTCCCCTACTGCCACCACTGGGTGGGACGCTTCTACTTGGCGGGGGGGCTTAGGCCTCTCTTGGTTCTCAGAGTTGGTCCTCCATTGGAAGCCTGGACGGGACAGGGGGGGTTTGCCTTTAAGGCAACCTTCTCGGTCTATTGGCTGAGAATGGCCGATCTAGTCCGTTTTGTATGAGGAATACAGTATGTGTAAAGATGTGTGTGTGTGTGTGTGTTTGGCTGCTGAGGGTCAGTTTGGTCGGCGCTCTTAGGTTGGGTCAGGCATAGGTGTGGGGTCATGGTGGCTGCAGGGCCAGGCTTGGGCCTCCTGGCCCTGTCAGATCCCAAGTGAAGGTTGGTGTGCCCTTGGACCCTGCTCAGTGTGCTCTTTTATGGATTGACCTTGGGCATGACCAGCTGCCAGTGCAGCCCATGGGCTCCCTGTTTCTATGGCCCCTGGGATGGGGCCCCTCAGGGACTGGGCCCCTTTTTCTGGGGTTTTGCCTTTTGGGAGTTGGGATCCCCCTCCACCTTCAATCAGGGCACCTTCCACAGCTGTGAGTGAGACTTCACTTGTAGTGACGAAGGGTTAGTGCTTAGTGGCGATTTGGGATTGGGCCATGGTGAATCATCAAATCAGGGCTTCACTTATAATGGCTTTTTATACTTGTTGCGTACATGCTCAATTCTAAGTGGACCTAATTAGATTTGATTCATTTATAGAAGCTGTTGTGAAACAAAAAACTCAGTGTTCCCGGCATTAGGATAGATGAATTTAGAGTTGAGAATTTGAATCTGAGTTTGTTAAACCTGCTTATTGAAACGGATCCCTGCTGTATTCCGTGATACACCTGCTCCCAGTTACTTAATTATTGCATTCATTGTTCAGCAATCTCCTCGCCAAAATTTAAGACCCTCTGATTCTTCCACTCATTGCTGATTCCTAATGTTTGTTCTCTATACCTTATCCTGTGTTCCTCTCAGTGGTTTACGTGTTGTTTACATTTATGTTTTGTTTTTGTCTGGCTCTTTCATATTCTGTAGTTCTTGCACTGTAAGAGCTTTGAATTCTTTATAAAAAAAAAAACACAAACACAATTTTCTGCTCTGTAACTGCATTTGTGTCCTCAACTAATCATTACACAACTTGGATACAATATTGATCCTGTTGCTCAACAGTTTGAAAATTTCAAAGAGACACCAACATCCACCATTCATTAATTTTAAATTTATTGAGCACTTCTTGAAAAGGTGCATTCAGACTGGATGTAGTGTCCATGGCCAGGGTGGTGAATTTACATACTATCCCTATGCGACCTGCAAAGGGAAGTGCCGGGAAGCGTCCAGTGGTGAATCCCACGTGGTGGTGGCTTTCACTCTTAGGCTCACACCTTGTACTACTTGATAGAACTGAGGCACCGCATCGAGAGGGGGAAGCGGTGATCACTGAACATGAAAAATCTGAACTTTTCTATGTAAGGCAAGGCAAATTTATTTGTATAGCACAATTCAGTACAAAGACAATGCAAAGTGCTTTACATGATTAAAATATATGAAAATAAAACAAAATCAAAGCAAGTAGAAAAATAAAATAAAATAAAAAATGCAATGTAATTGCATCATGGCAACCCTTCAGGGACTGGTTGCAGTTATGACATACATTAGGCTAAAGAACTGCAGCTGAGGTAAAGCTTTTTTCAGTTGAAAGAAAGAGGAAATAATCTTAACAAAGTTAGAAATAAGGAATGTTCTGAAGAGGTTTCTTGGTGGTTTTAAAAAATATGTTTTAAATTAGCATTAGAAGATTATTGGTTGTCCTCCCTTACCCTCAGCACAGACCACAGTCTGTCACTGCCTACTCCGTAGCAGTGGTACTCTGCACTGGTAGATTTACAAGGAAGTATCTCCGAATCCAACTAACATTCAAATGCAGAACCAAAGTGATTTACTTTTTCAGCGCTTGTGCTGATTTTCAAAAAAATGATGGTACCTCCAAGGCCATTTAAAAGTTGTGCATAGAGAACAATTAGGCAGCAGTACTTGAAGTTAAGTTTCACCTGTACTTTTATTGTGAAATGCCGACAGCAAGGACAGGAAATGGGTTGCCAAAGGTAACGACGGATCCAAACTGAATTATCTGGGAGACTGATGAATTATTAAATATTAAACAATCATTCCACCCGCTAAATAAGGTAAACATGCCCACTGTTATGATGTGTCCACACAGGAGGTGGTGTGAATAGCCCCAGCGGTAGATTCACATAAAATTCCTATACAAACTGTGTGGTAAGGGGAGGTGAAGCTGAACTCCATGCAGTGAGAGTGTTTACTGCTCCACTGTCCCCTCTTGCTACTAGATACAGCTGAGGTGTTGTCAAACAGCAGCACCACATGGAGAGAGCAGAGCTGGGATCACTGAAGTTGAAATGAGCTGAACTTGTCTATGAAATCACGACATGGAAGCCAATGAGGGACGGCTGTAGGTGAAGCTTGAACAATGTTAAAAAGCCTAATAATATTGAATATCTCTGAAACAATAGTAGCACACATGACCTTTTTTTTTTTTTTTTTTTTCAAAATGAGCATTTTAAATGCACAAACCTGCACTAAAGAACCAACAACCAGTGAGTCTATTTGCTGAATGTTTTCCCCATCAGTGGAGAGTCAACTTTACGCAGCTGAAGCTCCTCCTCTCTGATGATGCATCCAGGGTGTAAACACTGTGCATCTGAAATGTAGCGTGGTGAACCAACTGCGGGATTTGTGGAAGTCATCACCTTCACTTTAAGCTGTCTGAATGCACCATTATATTCAGTACCAGGCCATTAATGTAATATGTTATGCAATAGCTTTATATTCTTATACGACCAGAGCACTAACATTTATTGGCTGAGATAAAAAATTATTCTGTCTTGGAATAAAATAAGCAAATCAGCATCAACAGGTTTTACTTGTAAAAATCAAGCAGCGCAATAATAACCCCAGACACCACGTCTGGTCTGAATGCACCTTAACAGTCACATGCATTATTTTCTACTCTTTTACTGTGGGACCTCTATACTGCTGCACATGCCAATCACTTTGGGGTTAATTCAAAATTATTTTTATGCCACATGCAAAATAAAAATAAAAGTCGAATATCAGCACAAGGTTGGAAATAATCATCACCACCTGCTATGTGAATGTAGCCTTTGACTAAGAAAAAAAAAAAAAAACTACTATAATAACACACAATGACAGCAGTGACATATTTCCTTATGTGTGACTTTTCATTAATGTGTAATAAATAGCTATGCAAATAAAATAGATTATGCATAAATATACTCATCTCAGAAAGCTTTGTGATCCTTTACTTTCCAAGTTGGAGTACCAAATTTATGGGTCTTATTGATGATCAATTTTTATGTACAAGAATACATAAATAGTTTTAATAAAAGAATAAGGGGTTCAGAACTTGACTTAAACTTTAATATTTTAAGCTTTAAGGGAAACAATTGTGTGATTTTTAATTAATTAATTCTTTTAAGAAATATATTAAAGAGCCTTCCGTGCCCTTTTACTCATCAAATGTGTTTTTGTGTTGTATTGGGGTTTAAATAAAATTATGTAACACTTTGGCAAAAAAATACAAAACAGCAGTCCATAACTCGAAGCCAAAATTGCAAATATTTCCACAGCAACACTTAATTTTCCAGGAGAGCTTACATAAGCTGGGATAAAAGTGATCCACACAGCACAGAATATTAGCATGCTAAAAGTGATAAATCGAGCTTCATTAAAATTGTCAGGGAGCTTTCTTGCTAAAAAGGCCAATCCAAAGCATAACATGGCCAAAATCCCTATATACCCCAATACAGCCCAGAAGCCTAAAGATGACCCAAGTGCACATTCTAGTATGATCTTCTCCCTGTAATATTTTGTGTTTTTGAATGGATAGGGGGGGTTGATTACTAGCCATATTACACAAATCAAAACCTGTAGAAGAGTAAGAGCTAAAACGCTTAGTCTCTGCTGTAAAGGCCCAAAACATTTTACCACATTATTACCTGGAACTGTAGCCTGAAAGGCCAACAACACCACAGTTGTTTTTCCGAGAATACAGGACACACATAGGACAAACGTAATGCCGAAGGCTGTGTGCCGTAGCATGCAGGACCAATCAGACGGCCGATCGATAAAAGTCAGAGAGCACAGGAAACACAAAGTTAAGGAGAACAGCAGCAGGAAACTTAGCTCAGAGTTATTGGCTCTAACAATTGCCGTATGTCTTTGGTAGAAAAATATCAGGCTTACAGTCACAGTTGAAAATGCACCAAGGACAGAAACAGTGACCAACATTATACCCATTAATTCTGTAAATGTGAGGAACTCAATCGGTTTTAAGTAACACTGGTTCTTCTCTTCATTGGAATTGTACTCAGGAGGGCATTTTTCACATTTTACAGCATCTGAAAGAATAAGTACATTTAGGCTGCACAGAGAACACTTTTTCAAATAAACCAACAGTGAGCTGGCAGTAATTTTGCCCAGCAGAAACACAATGAGCACCAAGGTAAAGGCTACATATCCTGCTGCCTCACTTGTACTGTTGCTGAACTCCCCCTCAGCACATGGGATACAGTCAAAGCAGCAGACTGGTTTGCCTTTAATGACTGCCCGACGAGTACCTGGTAAACAGCTGTCACTGCAAATGGAACGTGGTACCTAAATCACAGAGACACAATTCAGAGCACATTTGTTCACACTTATTATGTTTAGCATGAAAACAAATTACACAATATTTTTCCCTTTTTTAAACAGTCCAATTAATGTCAAGTTAAAGCAAAGAAACTTTATATTGACTAGAGAATCTAAATGGACTCACCTCAGGACTTTCCCCTGCCCAGATAGCCCTCACTCCGGTTTTCATCTCAAATTGCTGACCTTCAGGCCAGGAGGCATCGTAAAAACCAATAGTTTTAAACTGTATGTACCCTGTGTTATCCAACTGCCAGTTTACTAATGCGTAACGTGCTACAGGGTCACCCGACTCATCAAAGAAAACATCTTCACCATTCTTAGTTGTGAAATTTACCTGTGTTAGATAGTGTAACACCTAAAGGGAAACAGTGTGGGAGTATTTTAAAACTAGCAGTTGTGATTTAGTCACATTGTTTTTTTTTTTTAACAACATTTACCTGCCATGGCTGAATATTTTTCCTGTCAGCACATGTGTTGTTCTGAAAAGGCCCATGTCTGTCTTTGCAATTGAATAGCATGCTCAAGGCATGAGCAATAGCATATACCGCTTTGTAGACATTATTCATCAGGCTTGCATCTGTAACATCAGTAAATCGTATCTTAACATCCCGCAAACTCTCTGTTCCACTGCAGACTTTAACACGATCATCTGGGTAATTAACTCTTTCCGGTGACAAGGTACAGTGAAATATATCTTCCCACAACTCAACAAGTCCCTGATTTCCTGGTGTGGTGGATGGTCTGCTGTTGAGGAGAAACTCTTGAAGTCCAGGAATATGAGCATTCAGTGCTGCAAAGCCCACTGCCCCCTGAACCACAGCATAGTTTTCCTCAGAGGCAAAATAACGATAAGTAATCCATCCTTCACTTCCTACCCACTGAAGACCTGTCACATTCTGAGCATACAGCTCTTTCATAAGTATATCAAGATCTGTAGCATCAGCAAAGGCAACTATAACCTTAGAAGTGGATTTTCTAATAATTTCCACCACTTCTAGAAAAGACTTTCTGGGATCAGTTCTGTAAATAGCTACTGAATACTCCACACATACACCTTCCTTTGTTGCTGCTTCCAGGAAGGTGGACATGCCACCATTTCCATAATCATTGTTAGTTCGAACTGCTCCTACCCAAGTCCACCCGAAATGTTTAACAAGCTTTGCAAGTGCTTTGCTTTGATGAATGTCACTTGGTATGGTTCGAAAGAAAGATGGATAGATTTTCCTGTCACTAAGACATGCACAGGTGGCTGAATGACTGATCTGAAAAGAAAAAAAAATGGCCTGAAAAATATCACACTTCAACTATTTATGTTGAACTAATTATCTTTTCGTATATTCTTTTTAAAGTTTGTACTCAAAATGAATAAAACACCCAATCACTCACCAGAGGAATGTTGAAGGGTCCCAGTGTACGTGCTATCCCTATTGTAGATGTAGAAGTGGTGTCCCCAATGACAGCGCACACACTGGAGAAACTCATGCATGTCTTTTTTTTGTTTTCGTATAGATTCATTAGATTCAGTGATGACCTGATAGACAGGGGTACACTGGGGCAAGAGTCAAATATCCTATAACCAAGTTTCACATCGGGCAGCAGCTCAGTGCTATTGTTAATTTCATCTATCACAAACATCATAGTGTGTGCATACTGCAGCTCACCCATTTCCAGCCTGAAAAGAAGGAAAACATTAAAACACACAATAATAAAAGCCTAATGTTAAGAAAAAAATAGCAGAACAAAAGGCACATTTTTAAACACTCTTACCCTTTACACTGGATTGCTCCTGGGTTGGTTGTGAGTTCTGGACTGACAGTGACTGGGTTCTGGTGGAAGGAGAAAATCCCCCCAATGATGATATCCCCTTCCTTAAAAAACTGAGACATCTCTTTTGCGCCATATGGGTGACACACAGGGCTTTCCCCTCTCACAGCCATTAGAAAGAAAAATAACAGATTCACAATAAGCCTCATAATTCCTCACCTGAGTCCTTGGCACGCAAAGCTAATCACACAATGAAGGTCTGACCTTTTTATGGTAGTTTTGCATCATTAACCAACAGGGAATTTATATGATTTTTCTGAATATCTTATTGGTGTCCACCAATGGCGTTGCTTGTTTTGCAACTACAGGGGAAGCACACCCTAGTACCCTATTAGCTCTCCTGCAATTTTTTTAAAGATACTGTTAAAAATACAATTCTATAATTCTGTTTTGCAAATGTAGTGTTTGTATAAAAATCATCATATTTCAAAGAATTGAAGAGAAGCATATCATGCATGTTTCACAAATTGATTTAAATGTATTTGTCATCTTTCCAGGACAGAGTAAGGTCAATTATTCAGGAATATGCAACTTTGTGAAGGCTAACAGGTTATTGTGAGGACAACTCCACTAGTCCCTGTGAGAAAAAGTTATCTTCTTGGGTTGGTGTTAGGTATAGCACTAAGGTGTGAATTAAGTTTAGGTTTATTTAGTTTTAGTTAGTTTAGGGCACACAAATGAATGCAAAATAAATAGTAGTCAAGTGAAAATCCCTGTAAGGATAACAAAGCATAACATCTGTGTCTATGTTTATGTGTGTGTGTGTTCAAACATTATTTTACAATATTATGCGCATTTTTTTAGGTTTAGGACTAAGATGTGAATTGAGGTTACATTTAGGTGGGGATTAGGGTTAGGCGTGTTCTGGTAATGGTATGATGCAGGGTTAAGGGCTGGTTATACTTCCCGCAGCAGTGTGTCGCAGTGAGCTTGTCGTAGATATTTTTGATTTATGCCCAATATTGAAGGGTGGTCTACGCTATGTTATTCCACACCACAACGCAAGAGGGACAATCACAAACTAGCTGTGGGTCTAGATAAGTGGGGGCAAGTTTTTGCGACAACGGAGAGACATGACAAAAAGTATATATAGTATGGTCCACTTTTTAAACCCAGACTGTTTAAAATAGTGCTGTTGGAAACGGCAATAATTTGTAATCAAAAATAAGGCAATCACAATATGTTAAATCATAAAAGTCCTTGTTTTGGATCAGTTGTGGCTACTTTTAAATGGAAAATCTAGAATTATCTTGTACTATTTTCATAAGAACATAAGTTAATACAGCATGGAAAATTTTAACTGGGGTTAGACCAACATGTGAAACATTAACATTATAAAAAAGAATGCTATGATCTGGAAGCTGGTTCACTCTGAGATATTTTGCTTTGTCTTACGGTAAACCTCTGAATAACATTTCATTTTTATACTTGCAGATGAGTGAATGTACATATATGAACAACAAAACACACAAATAGTTTTAGGTGACATATTGTGGCATGGGAATATTACATCAGAAAAGAAAGGCCTTTGAGTGGTGTTAGCTAGCTCTGGGTACACTGGATAAGGGTAGCCACCAGTTCTATAAAGTATTTTACAATCGATTTTAGATTGCTAATGAACGATGTTAAACTTCATTTGGGTAATTGGCTTTCTTAAACATCCTTATACAAAAAAAGCACCATCAATTATAAAATACCACTAGGATCCCCCTGCAACCACAACACACACCTAAAGCCACCCATAATATGTTTTTCTATTTTTGTTGGCCATTTCCATTCATTTCTAACCAATTTCTACACCCCTAATGTAACCCTTACACCAAACTTAACATCTTAGTCCCAAACATGACCCTTGGTCCTAAAATAGAAATGCCCATTGTGAGATCCAGGCATCAGGCCCACAAAGAGCAGTTGGTCCCTACAACCTGCTATTTTTTCCAGAAAATGGGCCCCACAGTGTATCATGTACAAGAACACACACAGACATTTATATAGATAGTTGCATGCATAGCATGAAACAAATAATAAACAATATCTATAACAAATGACTTTAAAACATGGTTTTATTGTTTTTCTTAAAGAACAAATAGCTAGAGTTCATGGCTCTGAAAACAAAAAGATACCAATGTATTCATACTAGTGTATTATCAGACTTGAAATTTTGTAAAAAATACAAGAAGTACAGATCTGCCATATATTAGTTTTATATAGATAAGCTTTTAATATTTAACAAATTATTACATGCACACTAGCAATAATTGTGACTTTACAATAGTACACAAAGGAAGATATCTTAATGAAACAGAAATCATACCACGGCTATATAAAAACCTGTGAACTATTTATGTCCCAATAAGATTTAAATGTCTTTGTCATTTGAGAACAACAGTGGTGTCAATACCAATTTACTTAAATAAAAATAAAAAACATGTAAAAACTGGATAGCTTCGTAGCTATTAAGCACTAAAATACATAAACGATATATTCTTCTGAAATTGGATCATCTATATTGGTATTAGTAAAAGGTTTTGCCCCACCGTACCTCTTTGAGCTTATACATCCTCATATAGCTACTCGCTCTCTAAGGTCAGCTGCTCCTGAGAGAACTTAAAACTAAGCAGAAGCTAAGAGGGAACCACGCTTTCGCTGTTGGAGCTCCAAAGGTCTGAAATGACCTTCCTCAGAACATCAGACAGGCCTCTTCTGTTTTATTTTAGCTGCTTTGTCTTTTATCTGTACTGTTTTATGTTTTATTTTTCTGTACACCAATTTGGTCTACTGTGGTTGTTTTACAAGTGCTTAACAAATAAAATGGGATTGGATTTGTATTGTGGGTCCAGTATAGTGAACTTGCTAGTGTATGTTAAATTGGACGCCATTGTATCGCCTATGAGTCTATCTGACTGTCTGTCCATCTATCTATATGTTTTATTGAGGAGCACATATAATTCATTAAGACCAGGGAAGGTGGATTTTTGTCTGAAGTCAACCAGCTGAAGAAAGCTTCAATAGTGTCCCACATGAATCATGTTTAGATTAATTCCATAGTTATTTATATGATCCTTGACTTAACACAGACCTCTATATCTTTTAACAATATCACCTCCTTCACCTGCTGTTTTGTATTCACATAATGTGCAAGGAAGAACAGTGTGTTCAATACCTGTCACAATAAAAAATTAGTTTTTTTTTTATTGCCACACAAAACCCAGACATAAATAGCCTTCAAAACAAAGTCCGATTCAATGGTTTGAGGATTATATTAAATTTCTATGATACAACAAAATATTAAATCATTTTATTCGAAACCACGCTGTTAAAATGGAATCTGAAAGGGATATATCCCACTGTACGGCCATTACTTATGTGAACAACTATAGGAACTAGGGGAACAGCACTAGGCTGGGTTGAATCTTATTTTTCCATAAAACATTTTTGTAGTACAGGCATGTCTTTTAAATGTTCAGCTTTTGAATTCATATTAGACGGAAGTGATTGTATGTGGACTGGACTCTGCTTAGTCATTTCATCAGGATGGTATCTAATTATTCCCCATTAATAACATAAAAACCTTGGTGTTATTTTTAATCTTTCAGTCATGCCGAAAGGCTAGTCACTGCATTTGTCATGTCAAGGTTGGGCTACTCAGGAAGTGTACACATTTGGAGTTAAAAGCCATTAACTTATCCAAAACATTGTTGCAAGAGTTCTGAGGGCAGTTCAATTTTTTTTTTTTTTTAAACTCCCATTTTAGCCTACCATCGATGTCTTCCCATTAAATTAAATTTAAAATACTCCTTACCGCATATATATATAGCACCAAATCATAATTCTCCATCTTCAGATTTCTGATTGTTCCTTATGCGTTTCTAACTGAGCAATTCACTCCCCGTTTGCAGCTTTACTACTAGTTCCTAGAATCAGCCCCTTCTGTGGAATCTTTACCAGTTTAAATCCAGGAAGGCAAAATTCTGCCTACTTTTCAGTCTACATTTGCTTCTGTTTAATTTTTTATGAAGTGTTGGTGTACAGTGGTTAGAGTGGCTTACCAGGATAGCCTGAGCCAGGCTGTTGGCACACAATGATAACTTCTCCTAAATTTTGCAGAACTTGTTATTTTCAACTTTGAATACTTTATAAACTCAGCTTTTTTCTAGTCATGGTAGCTGCTTACGACCATGAGCTCTGTTTAGCTGGGACACCATCATGGAGAGATGCAACAGCTGGAATGCTGCTATCAACAACCTGAATTATAGATAACAGCATCTGGCCTGTTTTTCAGTGTTTAGTAGACAGAGCTATATGATAAGCTTTTATTATGACTAACAATGTGCCCTCTTTGATCCTTTTGAACTAAAAAAAAAAAAAAAAAAAGCAGCTATTTTACTTACATTTCTCTTTCTTTGACAGAGCCACCTATGCAGCCAGTTTACCATCACCTTCTGTATTATACAAAATATTTATGGATCATTGCAAAGAGCATGATTCTGCTGGAGGTTTCTTCTTGTTAAAAAGTAGTTTTTTTTTTCATTTTGTCATCACTGGATGCATGCTTGGTGTAAGAGTTGCTGCAACATTAATGAAACAATGCAAAGGAATATATACTTTAACTACATGATCACTGAGAGGAGCTAATTTTGTTAAGTCAGTGACACAGGTCAATCAGAAAATTGATAAACAATCTGGCTTGATAATTTGATTAAATTGTCTTTGTAAGTTGTCATGATCTGACATGTTTTGTGAATGTAAATAAAGTAAACAAAAGGGATAAATTCATTCTTTGCTATTGCTAATCTAGGTCAAGTGTTTGGGGATTATTATTATCATTTATTAAAATAACACTGACTAAAAAACAAGAAAAAATGAAATAATTCTGAATCTGAATTGAAGACCATTAAGTTGACTACTGCGGTTTTTCAACACCTAATAAGCTAATGTTACTGTTTTCTTCCCATCATATGGTTTTTAGTATTTCTCTCAGGTTTTAGAAGTAAAATGTAACATTTTGGTGCAAAAATACAAAAAAGGAGTCCAAAGCTTGAAGCTAGGATTGCAAATATCTCTACAGCTACAGTAAATTTACCTGGAGAGCTGACATATGCAGGGATAAAAGTGAGCCATACAGCACTAAATATCAGCATACTAAAGGTAATGAATTTGGCTTCATTAAAATTATCAGGTAACTTTCGAGACAGAAAAGCAAGAACAAAGCACAGTGAAGCCAGAAGTCCAATATACCCTAGAACAACCCAAAAGGCTATAGGTGAACCTAAATCACACTCTAAAATAATCTTTTCATTGGCATAAACTGTGTTCTTATGTGGAAAGGGTGGGGCAAAAGTTAACCAGATCACACAAATCAACACTTGAATTAAAGTACAGCCGAGAACACTTGTTCTCTGAAGAGGCGCTGAACACTGAGGGATTGTTTTTGCTGGTCTTTTAGCTTTAAAGGCCATCACCACAGTTATAGTTTTAGCAAGTATACATGAGATGCACAGAGCAAAAGCTATGCCAAAAGCTGTATGTCGAAGCATGCAGGACCACTCAGTGGGCCGACCAATGAAAGTCAGAGAGCAAAGGAAACACAGAGTCAGTGAGAAGAGTAGCAGGAAGCTTAGCTCAGAATTACTGGCTTTGACAAGAGGTGTGTGTCGGAACCATAGAAAGATACACAGGATTATAAGTGTTAAACTTGCTCCACATAACGAGAAGGCAGCTAGGATAGCCCCCATAGTCTCCTTATATGAAAGGAACTCAATCACCTTTGGAACACATTTGCTATGATTGACATTCGACCAGTACTCCAGGGGACACTGTGAACACTCTGCAGAATCTAACCACAAAAAACAAGATCTGGAATGGGTTTGTGTTATTTTCATACTAGAAATGTAGGAAAACAGTGGGATATTTATTTTACTCACTGCTAGTGTTGCTGATCTCTCCAGCGGCACATGGGAGACAGGAGAAGCAGCATATGGGTTTCCCCTTAATGGTTGCTTTTCGGAAACCCGGTGGACAATTCTGACTGCAGACAGACAGTGGCCTCTACAACACCAATGACGGCAAAAAAAAAAAAAAAAACCCATCAGAATCAGTTTGCAGAAATGAGTTGTGAATTGATGCCATATAAATGAACTAAATAAAAAACAAGCAAACATAAATCACTTAAGCTGTTGGTACACAAACAAACAGTAACTACTTTTTATCCTATTGTGCCAAGCGACAATTGGAGAATATGTTTTTGCTGGTACCTCCATGGATTCTGCTGCCCATGTGATGTTTTTTCCATTCATGCTTAACTGCTTTCCGTTTGGCTGTGAAGCATCATAAATCCCAACTGTTGTGAAAACAATGTCTTTTGCAGCATTTCTCTGCCAGTTTACAAGGTCATAAACTGCGGCTGGGTCTCCATTTTCATCAAAAAACACTTTCTCTCCCGACTGAACTGTAAAATGTATGTCCTGGAGATATTTTACAACCTACAAATAATTAACAGATTTAAAGATACATTTTAAAGCAATTCTAAAACTATCATGAAATGTGTATTTCAAATATGAAATTAATTGTTAACCTGTCTTGGTGCTATATAATCGTTCAAGTTACAAGTGTAGTTTACTTTTCCGTCATTTTGCTCGCATTTCAACATGTTATGCAAGGCATAAGCTACTGCATACACAGCTTTATACACATTGTTGGATATCCGTAGTTCAGAAACATCTGTGAAAGCATTATTTGTATCTTGAAGGTTTTCAGAGCCAGTACATAGCTTTGTGCCAGGCATATCAGACTGGAAACTGCATCCAAAGCTCGTTTCCCAGAACTCTCTCAGTAAATTGCTCCGGGGTTCCTGCTTAGGGTTTACCTGTAAGAGAAAGCCTTCTAGGCCTGGAATTTTTGCCTTTCTTATTGCAAAGCCTAGTGATCCACTTAGTATGCCAGAGTACCTTGCTTTCGCCAAATGAGCTGATGTAATCCAGGATTCACTCCCAACCCACTGTAATTCAGTCAGATTTTGAAACAAAGCTTCTTCAAGCAAAACATCCATCTCATCATAAGCTAGAAACGCAACTAAAACACTTGCAGTACCTCTACGGATAACTCTGACCACTCTCTTGACATGCTCTCTGGAACCAGTCCTTGAGATGGCTTCAGAGTATTCAACACAAATCCCCTCCTGACTTGCAGCTTCAATAAAAGTTGCCATCCCATTATTACCATAATCATTATCACTTCTTACTGCCCCAACCCATGTCCATCCAAAGTGCTTTACCAGTTTGGCTAGTGCTCTGCTCTGGAAATAGTCGCTGGGAATAGTTCTGAAAAAGGAGGGATACTGCCTTCTGTTGCTGAGGCAAGCACATGTTGCAAAATGACTTATCTATAAGAAAAAAGAGTAACACCAAGAAACATTCAGTATGTTGAGAGATACTTTCTTGTTTGCCATATTGTTACAAGTATTTATTGAATCTTCAGCTTTGTGAAATTTTGTTAGTCATTATCAACAGTATCCTAAGCTCCATTGATGCTGGATAAATATAAGTATTTACCACTGGTATTTGAAAAATCCCTAATGTTTGTAACATCACAATTGTTGTAGAGGACTCAGAAGTTCCAACGACAGCATGAACAGAGGATTGACCAGAGCAGTTTTTTTCAAAAGTCCTTTCCTCTCCATTTATTAAACCCATTCCCACACGTGTAGTAGGCAATGTGGAAGCACAGCTGTCGAATATCTTATACCCAACTGAGACATTTGGCAGTAGAGAGCTTCTGTTGTTAATTTCCTCAATAGCAAATATCATTGTTTGAGCAAAACGAAATTCCCTTAAATTAATTCTGAAAAAAAGACATTTAAAATGTTATGGATTTTATTGTTGTTAAAATTTGATTAAAGTTAATAACTATGAGTGTGTCTGTACCTGGAACAGATGAGAGGTTCAGGTGATGCATTCCAGGAGAGTGACGGCTTTGAGATTTGGCTATGAAGGGAAAAGGCTCCTCCAATAATGATATCTCCTTTCTTAGACATAAGAGGAACCTCTCTGCTCCCCAGCATCTCACAGAAAGCAGCTTCATCCTGTGCTAACCTTCCAGTAATTACAACAAATATTAACATTACAAAAAAGGGTTCCCACATGTTTTATTTCTAGAACTCACTGAACCAGATTCTCCTTTAAATAATGCGTTTTATACATCTAGAGGAGATAATACTCTTATCCAATCAGAGTGGTGATGATGTAAGTGCATTCATTTAATTCGCTTTTTTTTTACTATTTTTTTAATATTACTGTATTGTAACATGTGTTAAAATTATAAAGATGCAACGTTTTCACGTTCCTAAATTTATATTATAAATCTTTCTTCTAAAATCTTTTGTCTAGAAAGGGTTGCATTTTTTTAAGGTTTTATCTTTTACTCAAATCAACTATATTTAACAATATATAAATTATCATTAGTATTTTTTAATTTATTTTTTTTTTTTGCTTATTAGGTTCCTATGTATATTCCAAAGTATAAATGTTAATTTAAACAAGTTTTCAAATGATCAAAATATGACTTCATGTTTACAAGGTCACTTACCACACATTTTACCATGTATAGAAAGATATTACCAAAATGGAAAAACAAAGTAAACAAAACAACAAAGGCTACAAGCTAATGCTGCTCATAGACAATATAACCGTAAAACTTAAAGGGATTCATTTCAACCTGTAGTCAATTTCTGACCTACAAATCACCTTATTTGTTAAAAAGACTATAACTATACCTATTTTGTCTTCTCAAACTCACTGAAACACGTAAACATAAAACACAAAATAACTTCAAAGAAATGTGAAAGTAGTATCTGAGCAGTTTTAAAGTGAGCTACAAAGGCTTAGATGGTACGACTATACTATATTAAGCATTACAACAGGATTCTATGTTATCCATAGTATAAATATAATGACAAATTTAACAGCAAAACACATAAGTTTAAATTTAGAAAACTGTTATATAGATATACAAATAAATTAATTTCTTGTTTCTTTGAAGTGTCAGAACTCTACAATCATAAAACAATCTGTACTGTAAACAGAGTTTTGAGATATTCTCTGAAAGTTTCGGTAACCAGATGAATATGGCGTACAGAGCCAATCCTTAACTGAAAAAGCTGAGTCACAAAAAGAGGTACTTTGAGTTTTTGTGAGCCCTATATTCTCCATGCATAACGATTCTTTGGAGCAGTACAACTGTAACAGTACCCATTACAATTACTGATTTGTCTGTTATAACTCACACAACGACAACTGTCAAGCAATCCTAAAGGCTTATCAGCACCTGATTAATGTGAAAGGCACACACTACCAGGATTTTGCATAAAGAAAGAATAGTGGATATAGGAATTTTGTTTAAAGAAACATGTAACAAAATTCAATGCAGTCTATTTATATAGAGCCAATATACAACACATCATTTCAAGGCCCCTTACAGAGAAAATTCAACCAGATGGTACAGTCAGATACGTTCAAAGTGTTCTATCTCAGGAAAACCAGCTAATTGCATCGACTTAATGACTTGACATGAATGCTTCACACTGAACATGCATGCAGCGCCAGTGGAGAGAAAAAAACTACCTTTTACAGGAAGAAACCTCCTGCAGAATCTGGCTCCTTGTTAGCGGCCATCTGCATGGCCAATTGGGGATTTAAAGAGAAATAGGAACAAAACAAAACTTTGCAATATTGGGGAAGTACTCTCACTGCTAATTCCAACAAAAGGGTTTGACCGCTGATGCAGCTTCTTTATAGCTTTTTAAGTTGCTCCAGTACAATACAAAATACTCACTACACTAGACAGAGACAAAAAAAGCATAACCATTTACCAGACAGAAACAAATGTTTTGCTCTGCTCTGGTTCATTGGAAGCCGGCCAGGTAGAGACAATTGCAATCACACAAAACATCAAAAAGAACATCAAAAGGATCCAGTTTGTCATAGTTAACAGGTAACGGTAAATCAGTGACTACTAATTTGAGCATAAATTGTATATTTCCCCCCAAAAAGAAGGCAGGTTCATTGGATGCACATTATTTGTAATTCTGCATACCAGGAAACAGATTTGTAATTTCGATAAAAAATTTTCATTGTATGCTGAAAGGCATAAGTTAGGCAAAGTTTTGTCAAATCCAGTGAAAACAACTTCCAAGAGTGCCATCTCACATCTTCAAAAGAAACTTTTTGTAGAAGGCAGGGATGAAGAGATGCTGATTTTGGAAGTAGTGAACAAACATAGCTTATGCAAACTGTGTAACCTTAATTGACCCTATGACAACGATCCATAACAAAAACAAAATGTTTGGGCAAAAACTGCACATAAGCTGGATGCTGATGAAGATTTTTTTAATTATATCATATTCGATTAAGCAACACTAAGCATTAAGGTTGCTGTTCAAAGCTGAAGTTGGGCTCTGATTCTAGCTTTCAATTAAGGAAATGAATAAAGGGCACTTCATTTTTCGTTGCCTTCAGCATTTTCAAACTCCTGTAATTAAAAGGTAGAGTCCATGGAGGACGGCCCTGAGTCCGGAGATGAGGCAGAGTCCATGGAGGACGGTGATGGAGGAGGACCTCTTGAGGATGGCGTCCCTGCTGCAAAACCCTTGGGGGCCGCCGACTGCGGCACACGAACCGGCTGACGGTAAGGGGTGCCGTCAGCCCCTCTCTTCACCCGAGTGTCCGAGACACGTGACCGGAAATCAGATTACACAACTACAAAGTCGATCACCGACCTCTGGCCTAGGGCATCTTTGGGCTACGTACACTTATTGATGCCCTTGTGCTTGAACATGGTGTTCGTTATGGACAAACTGTGATTAGCACAGAAGTCCAATAACAGAAATAAGCTCGGGTTTAGCTCGGGTTCGTCCAAAGGCCCTTCGTGGAGGGCATGGGATCATGATCTCTTCATAAATACTAAAGTATTTTCAATGAAACAAAGTGACCTTTTTTTCTTTTACTTCAAAAGGGTTGTTCACAACATATCTATGTAAATCACACAGACACGATTCACCAGCAAAAAAACAAAAAAAAAACTAAACAAAAAAATGTTATCTTGTGTCCTTTAGTCTCCAAATCTGGATCTAAGAAAGCTAGTATAAGCTGAGTAGAACATATTCTATAAAAGAGGATGCATGGCTATGGAAGAGAAAGAACAAATATTCATGTGTCTGTGTGCTCCAACCTTGCAAAAATATCATTAGCATAGATTTGCTGATGTCCTAATATTCAAAGTCTTAAAAGGAACCCTGCCAATATGACAGATGTTGATGACTGTGAGATAAATAATTTTTGTGTTTGATGGGTTTAAGCTTAAACATTAAAAATAAGTTTAAATTAAAAAATAGATTTAATTTTTTCATTAAATCATTCTACAAGAAGAACATTACTTTATCTTCACATGTTTTACATGAAAGCAAATGAGTTTGAAGTTTGCAGTACTATAACAAATAGGCGAGGCAAGTTTATTTTTATAGCACAATTCAGTACAAGGACAAGTTAAAGTGCTTTACATGAATAACTCGGCAAAATAGAAGAAAAATAAACTCAGATACCAATAGGCATTAATATCACATACGGTCTACAAAGTATGTAACAAGTTTCATTTAACTACCCTTTTGTTTGTAGTACTCTAAAAAAATTTTTATTGTGTTTTGTGCTAATTTCTTCCCATCAAGTTTTTTTTTGTGTTTCTCTCAGGTTTCAGAAGTAAAATGTAACATTTTGGTGCAAATATACAAAAGAGTAGCCCAAAGCTTGAAGCTAGCATTGCAAAAATCTCTACAGCTACAGTAAATTTACCTGGAGAGCTGACATATGCAGGGATAAATGTGAGCCATACAGCACTAAATATCAGCATACTAAAAGTAATGAATTTGGCTTCATTAAAATTATCAGGTAACTTGCGTGCTAAAAAAGCAAATATGAAGCAAAGCAGAGCCAGAAATCCAATGTATGCCATCACAACCCAAAAGGCTATAGGTGAACCTAAAACACACTCTAAAATGATCTTTTCATTGGCATAAACTGTGTTCTTATGTGGAAAGGGTGGGGCAAAAACTAACCATATCACACAAATCAACACTTGAATTAAAGTACAGCCGAGAACACTTGTTCTCTGAAGAGGCGCTGAACACTGAGGGATTGTTTTTGCTGGTCTTTTAGCTTTAAAGGCCATCACCACAGTTATAGTTTTAGCAAGTATACATGAGATGCACAGAGCAAAAGCTATGCCAAAAGCTGTATGTCGAAGCATGCAGGACCACTCAGTGGGCCGACCAATGAAGGTCAGAGAGCAAAGGAAACACAGAGTCAGTGAGAAGAGTAGCAGGAAGCTTAGCTCAGAATTACTGGCTTTGACAAGAGGTGTGTGTCGGAACCATAGAAAGATACACAGGATTATAAGTGTTAAACTTGCTCCACATAACGAGAAGGCAGCTAGGACAGCCCCCATAGTCTCCTTATATGAAAGGAACTCAATCACCTTTGGAACACATTTGCTGTGATTGGCATTCGACCAGTACTCCAGTGGACACTGTGAACACTCCGCAGAATCTAAAAAGGATATAAATGAAAGAAATGGCTCCTGCTTAAAATTCTTTATAAGTTTGAAAGAAATGCAGGTTATAAATAATAAACTGGGTCTTCCGAAGAAAAAATGGCAAAAAAAGAAGTATGTGTTTTGCTTACTGCTTTTATTGCTGATCTCTCCACCAGCACAGGGGGCACAGGAGAAACAGCAGATAGGTTTTCCTTTGATCGGTGCCTGTCGGAAACCTGGCAGGCAATTCTCACTGCAAACAGACAGGGGTATCTGTGGCAATTAAAACAAAATTCAATCTGAAATTAGCTTTATCTTTGATTTTTGCACATTTCAACCCTTTAGCAAGTAAACATCTACATAAATGGTGAGCCTATTTTCTTTACAACTACTAGATAATTCTGCGATGTAATGTATTCTTCTATAGAAAAACAATAGTTTTTTTAGTTTAGTTTTTTAGTGTTTTTTTTTTCAAAAAAATAACTTATCATTGTTTTAATTTCAAGTGACTAAATAGCAAAGTTCCTCACTGTCCTGTTTTGCATCAATATGTGCTATCAGCTTAAACTGTGTTTGTGAATTATTCATTAAAAGATATTTTTCTATTATTCAAGATGTCTTGTTTTTTTCACATTAAAAGAAACTTTTCACAAATATTTAGCTTAGGTATCCTACCTCTAAGGATTCTTTAGCCCATATTATTTGTAGGTTGTTCATGGAAAGCTGGTTCCAATTTTGCTGTGAAGCATCATACTTCCCCACAGTCATGAAGACAATATCTCCTACATGATTTTTTTGCCAGTTCACAAGTTCATAGGTTGCTGCAGGGTCACCATTTTCATCAAAATACATTTGCTCCCCAGACGGAAGAGTAAAATTAACATTCTGGAGTTGTTTTGCAACCTGTCAGAAAAAAACAAAAACACTGCCCAATAAAGAAAACTTGGAACTTTTTTTAGCTAGAAGGGGAAAAAAAGCAATAAAAACATTTTCCAAGGTGCGCTTTTACCTTTCTTGGTTCTACATGTTCTTTTAGGATGCATGAGTGAGACACTGAGTAAGCATTTGATCCACATATCAACATTCTATGCAAGGCATGAGCCACTGCATACACAGCCTTATACACATTGTTGGATATTCTCAGCTCTGACACATTTGTAAACTCATTATCTGCATCTTGAAGTCTCTCGGAGCCAGAACATAACTTTGTGCCAGGTATATTGGACTGGAATCTGCAGTCAAATGTTGTTTCCCAGAACTCCCTTAGCAAACTGCTCTGTGGGTCCTTACTTGGGTTAACCTTCAAAAGAAATTCTTGTAAGCCTGGGATTTTAGCTTTTCTTATTGCGAAGCCCAGTGACCCAGTTAAAATACCAGAGTACCTCTTCTTAGCTAAGTATTTTGCTGTGATCCAAGATTCACTACCAACCCACTGCAACCCAGTTACATTTTGTCTTAGAACTTCCTCGAGCAAAACATCCATTTCACCTTGGGCCAGGAATGCAACTAAAACACTCGCTGTACCTCTTCGGATTACTCTAACAGCCTTTTCAATGTGTTCTCTGGAACCAGTCCTTGAGATGGTCTCGGAGTATTCAACACAAATCCCCTCCTGACTTGCAGCTTCAATAAAAGTGGCCATACCATTATTACCATAATCATTATCACTTCTTATTGCTCCAACCCATGTCCATCCAAAGTGCTTTACTAGTTTAGCCATTGCTCTGCTCTGATAGTAGTCACTGGGAATGGTTCTGAAGAAAAAGGGATACTCCTTTCTGTTACTGAGACAAGCACATGTTGCAAAGTGGCTGATCTTTTGGAAACAAAAAAAAGAGCATGAAACAGACAACATGTGAAATTAAAGTAGCAGATTTCTACTCATGTTGATCTGGAAGGAAAAACAATCAGAAACCAGAAAAATGCAAATGTAGCCCTATTGGACAAAAGTACGGTATTCCTATTATGTGTTATTTGATAATAATTTTGCAAAACATTTGCTTACCATAGGTATTTGGAAAATCCCTGAAATCTGTTGCATTGCAATTGTTGAAGAGGATTCAGAGGCCCCAATAATAACATGGACAGAAGAACAGCTTTTACCCCCAGTGTTTTCCACTCCATCTATTAGACCCATTACTGCACGCGTTGAAGGTAGTGTGGAACCACAGCTATCAAAAACCTTATAACCAATTGAAACATTCGGTAGTAAAATGCTGCTGTTGTTAATTTCTTCAATGGCAAATAACATTGTTTGCACAAAACGGAATTCTCTTAGATTTATCCTAAAAAAAAAAAACATTGTTGTACAATTCTCCTCAGTCAGAGTCAAAAATAAAGTTGAGATTAAAAGTAAGACTTACCTTGAGCATCTGAAAGACTCTGGTGTTTCATATTTAGACAGTGAGGGAATTGATATTTGACTATAGATGGAAAAAGCCCCACCAATAGTAACATCTCCTTCCTTAGACAAGATAGGCACCTCTGGGTTCCCAATAATCTTACATGTAGAGTTGTTCTCTGCTTTAAAGAATCCCACAATGACTACTAACAGTAAAATTATACTCATCCAATGACCCATTATTCACAAAGAAATCTGTTTTTTTCCCAGAGGGCTGTGATTTCAAAGATGGGTACTGACTTATGCTGTTAGCGAGAAGATGTTTGTCATCTGCAAGAGGATGGACAGTATTTATACAGAGGATGATGACGACCTCAAATTAAACAAATTAAAGTGGCAAAATCTATGAACAGATTTTATTTGATTTTATATTAAAAGTTTGAAAGGTCTTAAATTAAGAGTAGATGAGAATAGTATTGGTTTTATTTTTTTTTTTTTTGCTTGCATATGAACTTAAAGTTTGCATACATATTTGTTATGCATTTTCTTCTCTAGCAACCCTTCATTATTAAATTATTACATAACATAATCACAGTGAAAATTAGGCAGAGATCCTTTATTTTACTTTTAGTTATTGTTGTCTCTTCAGTTAGATGATAAATATTTTATTAAAAAAGTAATAAGTTTCAGAGATTCAAATTATATAAAACTGTTTCAATTTTTTATTTTAAATCTATTATTCACACAGACTTTCTTGAAACTAGGGTTTCTGTTCTGTGCCTAGTCGTAATTTTCCTACAATCCCTTCATCTCACATTGTGACATCTATCTTGTATGGATATGTAAATATTTAATTAAAATCATATTAAATTAAACTTAGAGGCTTTTAAAATCCCAGATTTGACAAGTGTGCTTTATTTACCTTGAGTGCGTCTGTTACAGAAACAAGGTAAACCACAACTTAATAGCAAAACTAACTGAAAACATAAGTAAATTGTAGATTCTGGGACAGAAAGGGACTAATTTAATTAGTTTTCTTTGAATGTGGTTGCCTTGGGTATATGTCCAGACACATAAAGTGAACTGTCAAGTGATTGCATTGTTGACATCGGTTAGCAATTTAATTTTTAATGATAAAAATAAAAAGATTTGGTAATATTATTGATTTCACTGCCTTTTTAAGACAAAAAACAAAGAAAAAAACAATAGTGACAAATACAACAATCACAAATTTTAGTTACAAATAATGATCACTGATGACAGCTATCTGAGCTTTTATTTGTTCTTAATTTCTCTGTCTTTGACAAAGGAGTCTAAAGGTTAAAGGTATAGGAGCAGGACAGCTTTTCTGACGCATATTTTTTACCATGTTGCTTGAAGATCTCTCCACAGTCGCGTAGAACCCTGTGAAATTGAAGGTCTGGAAGTGAAACTAAAATAAATGGTCCCCGCTACAGTGTGAAATCAATGAGTAAAGTCCACCAATCACAGAACACGGTCTGTTGTACACTATTGATTCCTTATATGTCAATCATGCTCATCTGCTTGTCCCTCCCCCCGTGCGCGTACCCTGTTACATGAACGAATCGACCCCCCAATGCTCATGTAGGACGCCATGGCTGGAAGCTAGCCACTGTTATGCTATGTTCACACCTTAATCAGCAATAGCAGCAAAAACGCGTGTGCTGCTTCATTTTTGATGCTTGTACAAGTTTAGTTCTGATGGCCGGCTGAAGCATCTCTGCTGCTCTAGCTGCGCTGTTGAAAAGTGGGTCTGATGCACGTTGGGCGGAGATACCCTGTCCTTTCTTTGCCTGTAACAATGGCAGCTATATTTTCTGTGATCAGCAGGTGAAAAGTAGTTTGAATTTATTATGAAGTCAGAGAGTCTACCTGAAAGCATCATCAGTGCAATCAGTTCCCCCAGATTACCATCTTGCCTTCAAATATTATTTCTGTCGGAGCCTCTCAGACCCCCCTACACAGGCAGTGCGCTGTCACTAGGAATCCCATTCAACAGCAGCCTATGGCCCGGTCACCTCCTTGCAGTTCGTGGTGGAGGCAGTAAGGTATTTTTATTGTACTTAATCCAAACTGCAAACACTATGATAATAAAAGGGAAAATTTTTTGCCGGCAGATTAATCAATTGGTTATTTAGACATTAATAAACTGTTTCAGAGAAGTGATCATAGCGCTCTGCATAATCAGTGCAGTGCCTGTCTCCCTGCAAGCTCCCAGATCAGTGACGCACTGCTTTAGCTGCTCAGACGCGCTGCAGACAGCATGCGCGCTCATGTGTTATGAAGGCGTCGTTTTGAGGCATGGTCTGAAAGGAGAGGCATGGTTGTATATGTTAAAAAATAGGGTTTGCTGGAACCGTTTTTCCAAAATCTCCTACAGCCCCTTAAAGGGGAGGACTTTGGCATACTGAAAAAAAAACCAAAAAAAACAAACCTTTAAACCTAAATTTTCAATATGTGTGGTTTCTTTCTATCTTTTGAACTATGTTTTACTTTTGTGACAACTGTCTGTCAAGTGAAAATGCGTGTATTTACTGTTACCAATTTTGACACAATTGAAAATAATCACATGAATGAATTAATGACAATTGAATAAGTAGGAAAAAAAGAACAAAAAAATTCAGCAAATAATTGTTGTAAGAAGTAATTCAATTATAGTTAGAAAATAATGTGTATATAAAGCTTGTTTAACTTCTTATGTATTCACTTTTATCTTTATGCTTTCATTTTTTTTCGAGTTTTATTTTTATGCTAGTTATTTCCCTTTCCAGACATTTCTGCTTATTAGATAGTTATATTGCAAAGGGTCTACATCCTACCTGGGAAAGTAAGAGTAACAACAAACATCTGTGACTTCAAGAAGGTTATGAGTGAATTCAACTGAGACATTCAACAACTTTATTGGAAAACAATGCTGCAATTCCTGACTTCACTGTCATATGGATGCTCTGACGGGAGGTGTGTTTAAGTTAGCTGCATTGACACAATTGTTCAGTTGTCTGTTATCCCGAATCTTCCATGACACTGCATCCCGTAAGGAATTCAGTGTTCGTCTGATTTCAAACCAACTAAGTGGATATAAGAATGTCCAAATTTTGTTAAAAACTATAAACCTATGCTAAACTAATCCTTCAGTCAGTGGCTTACAAGAGAAGATGATCTTTTTGATTCTTTATTGTATCATATGATAGAACATTTGCCTGAAATAAGGATTAATCTGTACTTATATTCTACCTACACTGCAAATTTTGTATTATGATGTTACTATTCCATGGCACACCATTCATCATGAAATTAATAATCTCATGTACAATGACATCTTTGATTATATTCACATTGCACGATCCCTGGTTAGTTCCGAATTATATGTGACATATATATGACAATAAGCAACTTCATCAGCATATTGCACTGATCTGTGCCATGGGAGATGTTAAAACCTCAAAAAAAGGAGGAGGAGAATTTGGCCCCTGTCTGGCAGGGGAAAAGAGGCTAACTTGGGAGTTATCAGAGTATGTTATAACACAGGCATCCCCAAAGTCAGTCAAAGCAAAGAATCCTCTAAAACCTGCAGGACAGAGGCCCTCGAGGACCGACTTTGGGGATGCCTGTAATAACATCTCCCTTTTATGGATTATATTACAAATACCTCAGCCTTTGAATTCAGCTACATGATTTACTGTTCAATCCCAAATTCTCCCAAAGCAAATAATAATAAAATCAATAATAAATAAGTTTAATTACAAATAGTTGTTGTGTAACATTATCAATAAATTAAAGAGTTATAATTGGATGAATACATTCAATCATACTTTATGTCAATGCCATTTCATCAAAAGAAGCTTTAGAAAATGTCGTTACTGTATATCACACTTCACAGTCCACTGTAGGTGCATAAAGATCTGATTAAACAAAACAAAAAATTATAAATATATAAAATAAAATCATGTTTAGGTGTTACATTACAGGCAAGTCTCTCTGTCTTGAAAATGATGAGTTCGTACCTGGACAGCAGGGCCTTGAGTGCCCTGTGAACCTGGGGAATTGCATGGAACATCTGCTCTGTAGCCGCATCTTGGATGGATTGAGACATAACCAAGCTTTGTCCAAAATATTACTTTTGCAATGAGAAAGACTTTCTTCCCCAATGTCTCTTTGCAATCTCTTTTGAAATGCAATTTTATTGACCTTTTTTTTCCCGGTTTAATTGTATAAAGATTGTCTGCATTCCCGCTGCATTAATTTGTGCCTGTGTGTCTACTCTTTATTGTAACGGCTGCTATGCATGCGCCACAAGTATGAAAAGCCATTATCAGTGGAGCACATATTCTATGAGTCACCATGACAACAGGCAACAGGAAGTGCATATTTCATCCCACTGGAACCAGAGATTTTAATGCAGAAATGTGAAAAAATTAAGTAAAAAAGGAGAATGTGTTTAATAGACAGAGAAACAGTGCTACAGCTACAAAGGTTGAAGATGGAGAAGGAAAAGATTGTTGCTCCAGTTAATACGTAAATTTGTATGAAGTTACTTTGGCAGGCCATTGTTACATTTATTAATGTAATTTCTAGACATCTAGAATGTTTACTCTAGATGTGGAGAATTTCATCTTGTTTGAAATGGTCATTTAGACAAAGAACATCTCTGTTAATACAGATTCTGTTTGGTTTTAGTTTTTCATATGAATCGACATGCTGCATGAAGTTGGGACCTGGTCGTTTTAAAAAGATTCTGAAGCTGTCATGAACTCGGCGCTGATGATTCGGTTTTTTTCTTTCCTCCTTGCTCCCCTGTCTAATTGGTCCTGAAGCTGATTAACCCCGATAATTTCCACCCGATTATTTAGCTATTCATGTTGCGTGATTACCTTCCATCAGCGGCAGGTTATTTGAGCAGTTTGGTGAGATTAATTAGCGATCTATATTTCGTTCTATTTTCCTGATTGCGACCTGTTTCTGCCCTATGGATATGGAGTGATTTTTCTGCCACAAACACTTTGAACTTTCCCACTGCCTGTCTCGCCTCGAATTATGGTTTCAACGTTCTGAGGTCATTATAGAACCCTCAGCTCTCTTTGTGAATTTAGGATTTTGAGAAGATATCGATAGACAGTTCTATGTGACACCACCAAGCCAGCTTAAATGCTTTTCAGACATATTCATTTACAACCATAGAGCAGCCCGTGCTGGTTTAATTGCTCTTGCAGGAAAAGTGTGAAGTCAGAGTGGGCTTCTTCACCTAAAAAATTCTGAGGACTTACTTTACAATGCTGACAAATTAAAATTAATTCAGTCCATGTTAAGGAAACTCTGTATTTCCCAGTGTTACATACCTAATAGGAAATAAAAGCAGATTAAATCTAACAACCCACTCAATGGTCATGTTTCATGTAGCGGAGATCAGCAATGACTGTCCTTCCAGATCTCCTAAATGTGATATATTATCTCATAATTATGACATCTTATCTCGTATTTACGAGATATCTCGTAATTATGATATACTGATCTCATACTTATGAGATAAGCTGTCAGAATTTTTTTCTTTGGTGAATGCAATATGCTTCCGCACCCATTAGAGTTTACCCACAAAAAAAGAATTAAATATATCCTGTATACATTTTAATGTTTATGGGGCTTTAAAGAGAAGTCACTTTATTTGTTATTAACAGAAGCTACAAAGATGGATGTAACAGCAGTGTTTCACCAGGAGGTGATGCTTGGACAATATCAAGTTGCTGGTTACTCTAAATTTCCTTAACATGAAAAACTGGATATTGACATACTTTGGAGGAATTAAATTGTATAGATCAATTAATTATATGTAATATCTTTTTAAAGGAAATTTGATTATTTGTTTCTACACCACTCTAGATGTATTAGTTTAGCAAAATATATCATTTTAATGAAAAAGGTGTAGTTTTGACTTTTGATTGAATTACCATTGATCCACAGAGCATGTATTTAATTCTGTATATTTTGGGTCCGTCATGTTAAAGAAAACAGGGAAACCATAATGTTTTTCAAAAATGTGTTTATATTTGCAGTGCTGAGTACATTGCTTAGAATTTTGTATGTATTTGTTTTTTATGAGGTCCTCCAACAACAAACAGCTAAATGTAAAAAAAATATAAAGAAAAGTTTCTGTATCTTGTAAAAATAATAACAACTCATAATAATTAACATTGTGTTTTTCCCAGAAGGTGTTTCTTTGTGTTTATCTCAGGTTTTATAACAAGGATATAGCACTTTGGTGCAAATATACAAAACAGTATCCCGTAACTTGATGCTAGTATGGCAAATATCTCAACAGCAACAGTAAATTTCCCAGGTGAGCTGACATAAGCTGGGATAAAGGTGAGCCAGACTGCACAAAAGATCAACATACTGAAGGTGATGTGCTTTGCCTCATTGAAGCTATCGGGCAACTTTCTTGCCAAGAAAGCAAGGACAAAACATAGAAAGGCAAGGAGACCAATGTATCCTAACACAACCCAAAACCAAAAAGGTGACCCGAGATCACACTCAAGGATTACCTTCTCCATATAATAATTCATATTTTTGTAAGGAATGGGAGGATTTATTGTTATCCACAGGATGCAAACTATGATCTGTATAAAAGTGAAAAACAAAACAGTGAGTTTTTGCTGTGCAGGCCCAAAACATTTAATCATGTTACTACCTGGAAGTGTAGCTTTAAAGGCCATTAGAACCACTATTGTTTTACCAAGAATGCAAGAAATACAGAGGACAAAGGTAATGCCAAATGCTGTGTGTCGCAACATACAGGACCAGCCGGTGGGCTTGCCAATAAATGTCAAAGAACACAAGAAACAGAGAGACAAGGAAAAAAGCAACAGGAAGCTCAGTTCCGAGTTGTTTGCCTTCACTAATGGAGTGTTCTTATTGATTAAAAACAACATGGCTACTATTAAAGTTAGGAAAACTCCCAACAAAGTGAAAAATACCAGTATTTTGCCCATGATTTCAATGAAAGAGATAAAATCGTTTTTTTTGGGTATACAGTCATCTCTGTTTTGATTGGACCAATATTCTTCAGGGCACTTCTTGCAGTTTATTGAATCTGCAATGAAAGATATTGTTAATAATATCATTTAATCGTTTGCACCCTAACAATGTTTAAAATTGAGAAAATTTTTTCACACATCAGTATGCAAAGAGGGTGCATATACTATAGTTTGGGTCTGTGGTACCTGTGGTGTTGCTAAACTTCCCAACTGGACAAGGTATACAGTCAAAGCAGCACACAGGTTTTCCTTTCTGAAGAACTTTATAGGTTCCTGGAAGACAGCTTTTACTGCAAACTGAAACTGGCAACTGTAACAATAATAGTATTGAATAATATTGTTAAAAAGTAAATTCTATTTTTTAAGATACAAGTGTGATCAGATTTTATCGTCAGTAAAGGCCTTTACCTTCTTTGATTCCCCCGGCCACATAATTGCTTCTTCGTTAAGAACAAACCTCTTACCAGGGGGTAGTGAAGCATCATAGTAGCCAACAGATTTGAAATGAAC